CATGTTTCATGTTCCTAAAGTAGCCTTCAAATTACAGGTTTTCTTTTCATATAAATGTTCTTCTGGGAGAGGATAAGCTGAAACATTTTTAATTCTGTTTGAAATGTCCATTACTCTTATTTTATTTATTTATTTATTTAATTATTTATTTAATTATTTATTTATTTTACTTAGATACAAACAGAGATATGGAAAATTGTGGTATATATGTGTATTAAGAATTGTAATGCAAAAAAACAGTACATGTATAATGGCATAATTTGGCATGAACATATTCTTATTTCTTTAAAGCATTTATCATTTGTTCCTTGAGGCATCCTCAGAACCTACAACCAGTGCCTGGCATAGAACAGTGCTGAATATATGTTGGCTGATATAAACTAAACTAGTTTATATCCTGGTCTCTCACATCTCTTTGTGCAGAAGACCAATTGCTTTTGTTCATGTTGACACACTGAGTTCTCAGTTATGCTAAACTGAAGGACAAACATGAAGCCACACAATTCAGCCAGAGTGTGAGCCATCTATCCAGAATGCAATCAGTCTGTGGAGACCACATTGATACCTCACTCTTCTGACTAAAACTATTTCAACTTTTTCTATTAAGTATGTTTCACTTTTTTATTTCAAGCACTTTATTTTTTCATGGTTCTTCAAAATCCCTTTGTAGAGAGAAAGTAGGCTTTACATTTAAATAATCAGAATTGTACTGTATCTAATAGCCCTGGAATTCTTAATTTTTGGTTACAGGCTGTGTACCATCTAGAGAGAACACAGATCAAGAGAAGTAGTATGAATATAAAATACATGTGCTAATGAAGAAACTGAGCCATGAAAAGATTAAACAGCTCATCCAAGCCTCACAACTAAGCAGTAGTGCTGAGATTTGAACTCAGGGGTTTTGATGTTAGAGATCATGTTCTTGATCAAAGATTTTTTTCTCTCTAAAGGAGACTATAAATAATTAAGTAAGATAATTCTGCTTTTATTCATTTTTTTTAGATTATTACTTTATCAACCCACCACTGTACACTGGGGATACAAAGAGGGAACACTCCATCTAATGAAGAAGATAGGTGACATGAATATCACATATGTGCCTAATTCAGCAGGTATGTACATGAATAGTGACCTGCCATAGTGTTATGAGAACAGAAATCAGAAACACCTCATCTAGCTAGAAGTTGCAAAGGTCAGATGTGTTGGAGTTATCTATAAGAAGGGCTATATGGGAAAGTGAGGTACTTTTTAGGCAGGTAAATATAATGCAGGCAAAGGCATTATAGAGTGTGGAGTGCTGAAGCAAAGAATGTAAGGTGGAAATGATGTAAAAGTAAGGAAAGATGGTCAGGGCTGAGACATTGCAGATCACTTTGATAACGGCAGAGCTGGACTTAATCTCATGAGTGGATGAGGAACCAGTCAAGTGTTTTAAATAGGAGTCACCTAATGATACTCTGAGTGGCAGGTTAGAAATGTATTTGAAGGGTCTATTCATTGAAATAAGCCAGTTTGTGCCATGGTAACAAATCAATCTCTAAATATCAGTGACTTGATGAAATACAGGATTATGTTTTAAACATCTAAAGTCTGAAGCTGGCTATGCAACCCTTCTCCATCTGGTAGCTAATCCTTCTGGGATATGTTTCCTTCTGTGTTACTCCAGCTGAAAAGAGAATTAGAGGATACTGCAGGATAGTTAGACAGTTTGGGACTAGAAGTGGCTTTCATCAGTTCTTCTCACTTCTCACTGACGAAGACCTTGCCACATGTCTCAGGGTCACCACTGCAGGAGGCCTCAGGCAAGCATGAAGCATCCGCCACAGAAAAGGGCACTTCTTTCAGTCTTGTTTGTAAAGGATGCACACACCAATAACTACTTATGCATTGTTTGAACAAATCATTATTTATTAATTTTTTTTAAATCTTTCAACAAACAGTTTTTTGAGCACCTACAAAGCACTGTCATAAATGTGGTCATGCGTACCAGGGGTACAGCACTATACCAAAATTCCCTATGGGAAAATTCTCCATTAGCTTGCTAGTCACTGGTGATAAGTTCAAAAGGGAGGGATTTAGAGTAAGCAGGTAGACAGTGTAAACATGAACCACATCACATGGCGGATTGTAGGCCATCATAAAAAAATTTGAATCTGATGTAAGTGAAAGGCACTTAGAGCAATCTAAGAAAAATGACATGATTAATTCTTTTAAAGCATTACTCCAGCTTCTCTATTGAGAACATAGGAAAAGTGGTAGGGTAAAAGGACTGAATTCTCTTCGAAGGTTACATAGTGATCAAGTGAGCAATGCTGGTGGCTTGGAGAAGGGTGGAACATGTAGCTGGTAAACAGGATCAGGCTCTGGATACATCTTGGTCAGATGTATCATATGAGACAAAGAGATTTTGAGTTCTCAGGAGATCATGTGAAGTCCACTGAGGGGAGATGATTTTGATTATTTGAATTATACCTAGATGGCTTCAGAAGGGCTCTGGGGAGTATCATTCTTCTAAATTATTCAGATCCAATGGGGACTTCCTCTAGAATTTTGAATGATAACAATGTTTGTGGAAAAGTCTTTTCCTCAAATTTAAAGCTTAGTTCTAAACATTTTCTACATTGAAAGATTTCATATAAAATCCACAGAACATTCTACCTAAAAGCTATCCATAAAATTATGTAAGCATCTTTTTGAAGGTCAGTTTTTAAAATATTAAGCTATTTTAATTTATTTTTTATGATGCTGTTTATTTTTTTGTAAAGGGCATGTTTGCTTTATAGGAACTGTCCATAAGAATTCCTTACAGAGAGAAACTGCTTTGTTAGTTTATTGTTATAATTATTTATGTATTAGAAAGGCACTAATTTAGGTATACCAGTTGATTTAGGCAGTTTGATTTAACCAGTCTGTGTGAAGTAATTGATAAGGAAGAGGTGACAAAGATTCTTTCTTTGACCAAATTTTATCTAGACTTTATGAGCTTTCTTTCAACTTTGGGGCTTCCATGTAGTTTCTTCATTATCAAATTTTAGCAATAATTCTGCTAAATCTGGTTAGCCAGAATACCCTATTCTTGAATATTTTGATTACCCTCTAATATCTGATCAAATTTCCTTTCTCTATGCCCCCATAGGTGATTTCTGATCACCGTGGTCTATCTTCACCAAAAATTGTCAGATCCCTTTACATTTTAGTTATTTCTATCCAGCAATCCAAACTTCCTCCAAAAACCTCCTGCCTCAGTTCCTGTTTGAATTTAGATATAATAAGGACAGTGACATTAAAAATGTAGAATAATTGAAAAAACTTCCATGCACAGTGATGCATGCCTGTAATCCCAGAGATTCAGGATGCTGAGGGAGGAAGATCACAGTTCAAGGCCAGCCTCAGCAATTTGGCAAGATTCCTAGCAATTCAGTGAGACTCTGGCTGGGGATGTAGCTCAGTGGTAAAACCTCCCTAGGTTCAACGCTTAGTACACCCCGATAATAATAATAATAATAATAATAATAATAA